CAGGTTATCCGCATCCCTCTTGAAGTGAGGCTCCCAGTCCACTTACTCGTTGGGTACCTGTCACTAATGGATACCAGAAAATCTTTAGGAGTAGAGGAGAATAATTCATGATTTGCAATGTCAAGTTGCTTTACTTGAATTGGTTCACAGAGCTCAATAACAAACCAGATTTTAGTACTACATGGATTCAGCATGTAGAGATCCATGTTTTCCATTAGAATAGCTGATGTACTCTGTACAGAAAATAAACAGAATGTTTAAGTTGCGACAGGTATTAAATAGAAAGCAGAAGTCAGTTTTCCCTTGAAATAAGTGTCCTTTTGGTGTGTACTTCTATACAGATGAGATAATAGGAGCTAAACATCAAGTTATGGAAATAGTTAAGCAGCAGGATAAGACAACAATAATACATCATGCTCTGAACACTGGCAGAGAATAACTGCTTATTTACAGCGCTTTATAGCCTGTCCAGAACAACCTACATAAATCCCTATCCTAGGTACTTTTTCCTTATACTGAACTTCATTTAATAGCTTTCAGTTTCTCTAAAGTAACCCCTAAAAATCACCAATGTTAGGGAGCATTATGGATTCTGTTTCAAAAGCCCAAAAGTAATAAGCCCAGAGACCAGAAATACTAGAATACCTTGAAAGTTCTGCCTTAAATCCAATGTCTGAGATGTAGCTAGGACTCAGTACAAGATTATATTAAAAAATAAACTTAAAAACCATGCTCACATTCACAGTCTCAAAGTAAGATTAAAAAATAAATAAATACAAAACAAAAAAATCTACCTTTGCTTCTGGATTTGCTGCAAGTATTTTTGCACCACACTCTACTGAGGCATAATTATTTCTGTTTTTCTGGACCTTTTTTGTGGAATGCTGTCCACCATTAGAAGATGGGTGCATTGACTGACTCTCTTCTTTTTCTGCTTCCATAACTTGCTTCTTCCATTCATCAAATGTTGGAATGTCTCCTGGATCCTTTGGGTCAACTTCTCCTACTTTATAATCGTTCTCCCGTTTTAAGTTATCTGAAGCATTCAAAGCAGATTTCTGCTCATCTGCACTTTTCTCAGTTGCTGAAACTTTTGATTCAAACTCTGATTTAGTCTTCTTTCCTTTACCATGTGAAGAGGAGATATTCTCTATATGTTGACCCACAAGGTCAGGATGCGAGACTGGAGAGATCTCTGAGGTAGATGGACTGGAAATGTTTTCAATGTTTTGAAAACATTGAAGGATGGAGATTCCACAGTTTCTCTAGATAGCCTGTTCCAATACTTGACCATCCTCATAGTCAGAAAGTCCCTCCTAATCTCCAGCCTAAATTTCCTCTACTTCAATTTGAGGCCATTGCTTTTAGTGCTGTCCCTTACAGCCACTGAGACAAGGCCATCTCCATCTTCTCTATAAGCGCCCTTCAGGTATTGGAAGACTGTTATCAAATTCTCCCCTCAATCTTCTCTCTAGATGAAATAACTGTAGTTCTTTCAGCCTTTCCTTATAAGTTGTGCTTCTCAGGTCCCAACTCATTTTTTACTCTGTGCTAACTCTTTTCAATCCGTCCACATCCTTGAAGTGAGGACCCCAAAACTAGACACAGTGCTCCAGGTCTCACCAGTACTCCAGTCTCGCCAGCACTAAATAGAGCTGCAGAATCACTTCCCTTGATTTGCAAGTGACAGTCCTGTTAATACTACCCAGTATGCTCTGGGCTTTCTTTTCAATAAGAACATACTGCACATGTTCAGTTTATGGTCTACTGTAACGCCTAGTCACTCATTTCCTAGTCTGCATTTTTGCATGCAGTTATTCTGTACCCATATGCAGGACTTTGCACTTGTCCTCGTTGAATCTCATCTGACTGATTGCTGACCATTTCTCCTAGTCAGTTCATTCTGGATCTAAGTCCTAACCTCCAGAGTATCTGTAACACCACCCAGTGTGGTATCATCCGAAAATTTGCCAAGTGTGTGCCCAGTCCCATCATCCAAATCATTAAGGGGGGAGGGGGGGAGTGCACAGCTCAATGCAGGGCAGCAGCAGCCACTGCATGCGAGCTTTCTCTGCCCCCCACATCTTGCCGGCTGGGTGGTGCCTGTGCGGCAGCATGGGATGGTGTGTGGTGGCGCTCTGTTCTGCCTGTACACATGTACCCCCTAAGGCCTTCTCAGGTACCCCCGGGGCTACACATACCCCCGGTTGACACCCCCTGTATTAAACAATACCGGATTTAGGACAGACCCCTGAGGAATCCCACTTGATGCCTCCTCCCAATTAGATATTGCTACTCATTGAGGGGAGTAGAGATGCTATGCAGAAGACAAAATAAAAAGACTAATCCTAGAATTGTTAGGCACTTTTAAAGGTACTCAATTGTAAGAACCCTCTTTTATGCTTGAGCTAAAATTTAAGGTGGGATAATATATTGGCACACAGTTTTTATGCCAGCATGATTAGTGATCCAGGATTACAAATTGACTTCCAGATTAAAACCCCCACACTTTGAAAAGTGTCTCATATAACTTGAAACTATTACAACTGAAAATATAGAGATGTATATTATATAATACAACATGCTCTATAGGGATTTTTTTCTGGCCTCCATCACTCAAGGGTTGGATTATATTTGTTCGAGCCTGATCGACAATTATGAACATCTGTCTTTTCATTAAATATATTAATCTCTTTGCTGCAATATTTCATAGCAGTTGGCTCCAAAAATTAAATGAATATTATAGAAACAGAATTCCATTTTTGTTGGTGGATATTTGCCCTTTCTTTAAATGGAGAATCCAGCTATTCTTGTAATGTAAGATGGGGTCAATATGATAGGCGGGCTTTCTTTTTACTACTTGTAATTATTCTATACACTTTGCATATCACCAATGCTCTCTCTCAGTTTTTGGCCCTCAACTAAATTGTACATAAGACTTTTAATGCCTCTAACAATTTCCCTCATATTCACTAGACTGCTATGGCTTTACCCTTTTTGTGTTGAAAGGATCAGAAGTGAGCTCAGTAATGAGGATAGTGAATATGCTATCATTTGACGTGAAGGCCATTATATTATTTTAAGTACTATTCTCTTTTCCCTAATATCAGTGCTGTTTTTTTATGAATTTTTGAGTACAGAATGTAGGGCTTTGAGCTGTTCCTCATTATATAGTGTGCTAAGTGCAGGGTGGGTTTTAACTGAAGTGGTTCCAGATAATTGAGAACCCACTTATATGTTTGACTACTTCAGATTTTTCTAGTACATTATCATGCATTTGTCTAAACTAAACCTCATTGTTGCCTAGTTCCCTAGTTGTGATTTATTTTCCTGCTTTTCTTCAGTGAAATGTATTGTAAAGTAAATAAAATAAGGTAAAATAAAACCCTTTTTGTTAATACTAGAACTTAGAAAATCCATTTGTTCTAAGTAAAACTATAATTTTCTATCCTAAGCCACCTGACTATTTCTCTTTCTAAAATTTAATTGCACTAATACTCAGCAGCATTGCCAGAGAAACCATGGAAACTGTGGAGGAAACAAAATAATACCCAAGCAAGACCCAAGGACATTTTCTAGTGTAGTTAACTCAGTGGTATTGTAAGCACCAAGGTGTATTGTCTTCTTTTTTTAATTGGAAATGCAGGGTACTTGGCTTAACTGCATCCATTCCTATCATGTACCCATATATTATGCAAGCATCCAAAATGCAAAAGTTCTTGCTACTGTTCCATAATAGTACAAGAAAATGAAAATATTTGTCATTGGGGTAACATAGAAAGGTTCAGTCATATTTATACTGTGAACAAAAATCTCTTGTAATGATATTAAACCTAATGTAATGAGTAGCAACTGTCTGCATCGTTAATTGTCTAGACTTGTTAGGAATGCTGCCAATCATATTACCCCAACATTTTCCTTGAAGGCAATGGAATTAATTTGTTGTGTAAGCTGCCCAAAATTGGAGGGGGGGAGAATGAGAAACATTTGCTTTCCTCCCATTGAAGGTGGGAGGGGGAGAGAAGATGAGAAAAACTATCTATCCTTCCAATGTACATATGATGGCAGGTAGTTTTTTGTAAAATAATATGGATGTTAGAACAGAATAATGCATTTAAAGAGGTGAAATTAAATAGATGTGGATTGAAATTTAGGGTATTTTAATATGGTGGAGGTACAATAGCACGAATAGGAATGTTTTATGAAATGCAGTGTATAGGTCATTTTTCTTTCATAGAGTGAAAGCAGAGTGGTATATTTTTGGCATTACTGAATGGTTACAGGAAAGTGACCGTCTGTTCAAAATCCAGAAAAGTTAGATGATGCTGTTTCATCCAGTTAAAATAAAGAAAAAGTTTAAGATTTTATACAGACCAAGTTTATGAAAAAGAGAGAAGGAGCTTTGTTTTGCACTAAGTTTTTAGGTACCCGAGTTAGGATACCATATTAGGGTTTCCTTTTTTTCAGAAGCTGCTCAGCTTTCATTCCTCTGAGATTCAAGCCACAAGGTGTCTTAAGTTGAGCATCCAAAATTTGAAAGCAATTAAGAATAATTAGTTACTTTGAAAATATATGCCATGTTTTTAGAGTAACAAAAAGAATTTGGTTTATTGTAAAAGCCAATGTAAGGAGACCTTTTCTATGTAAACATGGTCAATGGTGCACTATGACCAAAATGGGGCAATTGTCAATGTAGCTTTTAAGATTTAGATCTTAAATTGTCTTGACATTTTTAAAGAAAGGGTCACTAGCTTTAATTTAAACGTAGAGTAATAATTTTTCACAACCATTTCTGGGTGGTTTGCAAACAACAAAAAAGGCATGCAGGACAAATTATGCATATCAGATGGCTTTTGAAAGTAAATCCCATTTTGGAAAAATTCAGAATCTCAGTTGGAACTTCTTTAAAGCCTTCACTAAAAAAAAATAATAATAAAAAAACCCTAGGCATTTGCTTATACCCTGGTCACGGATGTGCACATTAACTCTAAGTAGATATAAGTAAATGTCTAAACACTGTAAGTAGTGTGATGAATTCTTAACTGTCAGAGATGAAAAATGAGACCCAATAGAGAAGAATTACTATGTGTTAAAAGCTCAGCATTGAAGTGGATAGAAGAAAAATTAAGCACTTCTATTTTGTTAATAACTAGATCTTTTAGTTGTAATGAATCGCAAGGAGTATAACTGGAATTTTAGGAGCACGAGCAATACATCCAACTGGATCATCTTGAACACATGCATACAAAATGTAAGCAAATTAAATCCTCTATCCCTCATTCAGTTTTTGTCATTCATTAACATTTTCTTACCAAGTGATACCCTAAGGCAATTAATTACAGTTTTAAGTCAACTGGGAATTTTTCTGGCAGGCCATTGAATTGTTATTAAAAAAATGAACTGAGTAAATAATGACTTACAACAAATTGAGAAAGTGAAAAGCTACAGCTGTTGGCCTTCAGGGCCAACAGTTAATATGCTCAGCTTTCTTCATGCCACACAAAGAGTGGTTTAAGTTTAAAACTTTGCACCATTTGTGTTCTTAAAATATAGAGATGTCTGTACCTTTGAAAGTAATTTTATACCACCTGTTCCTCTTTGAAAACAGACCAAGTATATACATAGTAATTGAGGGATGTAGTCTGAGTGACATCCTTGTAAAGGAAGTTTGAATCAAAAGAAGTTGGTAAGAAGTTCTGAAATGAGTGGTTTGTATAGCAATTTATACAGGCAGTGTGGCAGATAAGTGGATTTGGGATAAGTGAGGTGAGTATATTCAAATTTTAAGAAGTTAAAGAGAATGAAAATCTAGAATCCAAGGTGGAAGGTGGTATAGTTTTAACTGAGATTTGTTTAATTAGTTTAATGTATGATCTTGTCTGCATGAAGTATTCTTAGAGAAGTTAGTGAAATATAGTTAAGGTTTGAATTAAAAGTGTAACAGCTATTCTGCTCCTATTTCCTGTTTGGACACTCTCCTATTCGATAGTACAAGTGCCACTGTGTGAATTAGGACAAAGCTGTCCAACTGGTGGCCTGAAGCCTGCCATCCACCCTCCAAGGGGTTAACATACAGCGCCCAGGCTCCTGCTCAGCTACCTCTCCCCTCCATGGCTCCTGCTGCTATGGCATCCAAGGTCTCTAGGCTTCTCAGTCCCCCAGCTCCTGCTTCTTGCCTCAGCACCTGGAAGTGGTGTGACAGTTGGAGAGCCAGGTTGCCTATACTTCATGGCTGTGTTCCCATAGCCAGGCAGGAGGCTGTGCTGCTTGCATGGCAGAGAGGAGCTGGGTTGCTTGTATTGCTTGCACTGTTTAGAGGTGGGGGTAGTAAGGTGTTCTGCATTTGCATTGCCCCATCCAAATACAAATCCTCTTTGTTTTTTTTAATTCATCCTCTCCCTGCCCTG